AAAATTTTCAAAATGGTCTCGTTTTCTAAGTTTATCCGCAACGCATTAAGCATTTAAGCACACCTTTATATAATAAAATAGTATGAGTACTTGTCTTTTATAATATATAACGGCCTTAGTCTTAAATCTCCTCTACTCCTTAAATAATAAAATTCTTCTAAACGTAATCAATGTGCTTCTTCATATATTTTGGTAATAGTCAATATTTTTTAAGTTAAATATTAACAATTAATAAAAGTTTATTATACTTAATTCTATTTGTAAGAGCTGTCCATTATAAATTTGAAACACAATTCTCATTACCTTATTTTGAAATATTTGAAGTCTGTCAAGTTTAATTTTGTTGCTTAAGAATAGTACTTTGATTCACAATAGTAAAAATATGGTAATACAATTGTAGTATACATATATATTTATTTCAAAAAACAATATCTTTGAATTTTTTTTAAGTAACCTAGTCACAATCATTATAAAAGTTTAGCTTATTGTCTATATAATAATATGAAAATAGTTCTAGCAAGTTTATTTAATTATAGGCTAGTAGACAAGATATTTTCCTAAAACTAAAATATATAAAAAAATAGTATGTATATAAAATCATAAAATTATAAAAATTATTTAAAAGTAAAAATAAAAACTTGTTTTAGGAATTTTTAAAAAAATTCTTGTTTATTTAAATAACGTGTAATATTGATTTTTTAAATTATGATCTAAAAAATTTTTTAATTGTCAACAATAACAATGTTAGTGTATACATATGTGTTATATTTTACACACTATTTATATTTTCAAAAAAATACATTGAAAATAAAATAAACTTAAAAAGCTTTTAATTATCTTAATATTTTGCATACACAAATTTATTATTCATACTTGGTATACAAGAATTCCAACATTATTTTCAAGTTAAATATTAAATTTAAAAGAGAAAATGTGTTGAATTTAAAAAATTAACTTCTTTTATGAGAAAATAGTATTCATCTCTCAGTAAATAAGTATTTCAACATTATACTATATATTCATACGCACACACATACACACATAAAACCTGTAACAAATTCTATCACAATTTAGTACAAAATAGCTAAATTCTATTGTAAAATCATCAATAATATTTTAAATTAAATATCAAGTTTTAATACTATATTTTTAATACTATTTATAATACGAGAATACAAATAAGTACTTATTGATCTTAAGACCCACACATTGAAGAATATAATATTTCATTTAAAAATCATCAATTGACTTAATTAAATAAAGGAAATAAGAAAAGAAATTTGAATCAAACTATTGGCTTGTAAAGTAGCAAATTTCTCTTCATTAATTTCTTTGTAAGAGCGATTTCTTTAAAAAACCAAAAAAAAAATGCATACATTTAGGAGCAGATAAATACATCAGAGTATTACAACATATGTACATAGTTAATTTTGTTTCTGATAACAAATTTACTATTACTTCTTTTCTTTCTTAGCAACCATAATGTTATTATGGTTTGAATTCTAAAAGTACAAGATTTGAAAAAAAAATTTTGTTCAGATGAGTTCGAAGCAATTTCTCTGTTAATTCTCAATTTATTCAGTTTAAAAAGTGTTGGTGTAGTTTCGATACAATAAGTTTTCAAAAAACGTCATTCTAGGAATCGATTAAATTTTATTGTGAATCGACATAATACATATTGCTTGTTATCTTAAAAAGTGGAAAAATTATATAATCAGGTGTCAACTACTTTATAAACATAAATATTAAGTTGTCTTGATTGCTATACAAAGCTTCTTGCGTTACTATTCTACTCGTATTAGAAAACAAAGTTATTTGATACTAATGTGATTTATTTCAGAAATTTTATTGAATATGAGAGCATTTATACAATTTTGTACATCTTTACAAAACATATATATATATATATATATATATATATATATTATATAACTACTATATCGTAAAGCTTATAAAATGTTGTTAAATACAAAAAAAATAGTAGTTCAGTTAGTATATGGCGAATGAATGAATCACTGATATGATTAAGTTTACAATTTTTTAAACGGAATTGTCATATTACACGCTGCGTTAGAAATTGTTTTTCATTTTTCTGAATATATACTTTTAGTCATATGGTCAATTATTTACGTAATATTATTCAATTAGTATATTTACATGTTATATAGAGCATAAAATTATTTATATACATATATATAATATATATAAGTATACTGTTTTATTTATATATGAATATGTAGTATACGTTCTACATAAATATACATATATTTTAAATATACACTTATCCTAAAATAGGTATGTACCCACATGAACTTAATATTTTTAAAATTGAGCATTGAGGTTAATTACTTTATTTTTGTATTCTTCTTTTTTTATATGAAATATGCACATTATGTCAAAGAATATAAAAAGATGTAAGTCCCTTGCTTCAAAATTGGAAAAATATATTGTAATTGTAAAACTTATAAATATATATATTGTATATATTGTAATAAAATATATATATTGTAAAACTTGATGACATTTTAATATTGGAAGTGTATTATTCGAGTGACCGCATGTAACTTGTTTCGAATCGAATTATTCGGAACAAAAATTTTATCGTAGCGCGTAAATTAATTCGAACACGAAATATATGATATTTTTACATTAAATTTGAAAAATTCGAGAGGCTGTAGTTGAAACAAAGCAAAGTGCTGCCACCTTTTAATAGCTGCACAGTTACCCTAATGCATACAAATTCTAATTTTGTTAATTGCGTATAGGAGGTGTTTACCTATAGATTTTGTGTAAACTGCTATGGAAATATTTTAAGTTTGGTGAAATTTTGGTGTTTAAATTGTAATATTTAAAAATTCATTTTGTCTTTTATGTTATAATTTTTACTACTCAAAATTTGTGCATATATTTATATAATAATCCGAAAAACTTTAATTTTTAACTGCCAGCCATTGTAAACATAATTCTCTTTGTTCTTATATAATTAATTTTCTTTGTTTAATATTTTTATGTGATTTTATGTCAAATCTATGGTATGTATGTGATAATTTTCACCTGTTATCTCTGTTTGAAATATTTATTAAATATTTTAACATATTAGTTACTAAAATGTTAAATAAGAAATGCATAATCTAAATTAAAATTACATGTTTATAAATATTTAGGTGTTTTCGTCGTAATAAATTTGGAGTACACATATTATTTTCTTCTTTTGTTTTGTTAAACTACTGTTGATTATTTTCTAAAGTAAGTTGTTCAATAATCTAATATGCGTTTAGTAGAAATATTATGCAGATATGTCAGGTCAATTAGTTTTTTTAAAACAAAATTCTTAAAAACAAAAATATATTTAGCTTTATGATAATCGGAATATATACATATGTTCATATGTATACATACATATATATATATATGTATTTATTTGAAAAAAATTCAAAAAAACATTTTTAAAAAATGAACTTCAGAAGCAAAGGTTATTCACTCATTTTATTCGTGTATAGCCTGGATTTTTTTCTCTTTTAATTACGGTGACCCTAAAGGTCTATATTTCTTATCAAAATCATTTGAAAAAGAAAAGAAAAAATTCTGTAACAAATTGTAAAAGAAAAAAAAAAATAAAACAAAAATTTTTACTTCTTTTCAATTTTAATTTATTCATAAAAAAAAAAGCTTAAAAAAATAACAAAAACGTTGCTTTCAAAATTTCAATTTTACACGGCTTCTATTTTTTATCTCCTTCTATACTTAAAAAGAAGTTCGGTAATTCGGTACTTTTACATAAACATACACACATGTAAAATTACATATATGTATATGTCCGTGTATAGGTATATCGTAAATCCCTTTAAATCGTCTTATATAAATTTTATTTATTTTTCTTTTTGAATTCAAAATTAATATTTTTCAAAATCACTTTTATGTACGTATGTAGATATGTATACCTATTTAATTTAAACATATATTATGAATAATGCAATAAAATCATTTTAAATCGAACACTCCAAATAATTAGAAAAGAATTTGTCAAATTCGTTGCCGCAGCAACTCAGAATGTTACAGTTGAATATAAAAACTACAGTTCATGGCGTTTCAATATTTCTACAAAGTAAAGTTTTATCAAATAGTTCCTAGCCGAAAAGAATTTGATTTTACTTGCATAAGTAGGTTAATTTGTTTTTATTGTAAGCAAGAGTGTAAATAATAATAATAATAGAGTGGAGATGTAGGCATATTTTAAAACAGACTAATCGTATATCACACTTATTTATCTCACTTTAGATTCATTTTCAAATCAAAATTCTCTTTTCTTTTCCAATAAATATTTCATTTTTACAATAGATAAAATTAGACTAATTGAATTAATTGGATTTTTGCATTTTTCCTCAAATTATCGACTATACGAACCTATTCCCTTCAAAAACAGAGTGAAATGAGACACGCAATATCTAAAAATTCTTCTCACTTGAAAATTTCATTATGCAAACATATGACAGTCATACACCCTTTTCTCACTTGGAGAGTGAGAAAACACCGAGATACATGATCTAATCGAAAACTATTTGAATTTTGTTAGTTGACTTGATTAGATTAAAGACTCCAATTAAGCTCAACCTGTTACCCGATACTCAACCTACATGACACGATGAATGAGATTAAAACTGTCTTGCTTATAACATCACATTATCTATGGGTTATTATAGATTTTACTGTAGTTTTTTTAAATACGTAGATCAAATATTGAATATTGATGATTGCAATGCATATATGTATACACTTGTACACATTATGTACACATACGAGTACATACAACCAAATTCTTAAAATACAAATCAACAAAATTTATGTGCATTTTAAATGCATAAACATGTTGTTTTTTTTTTACTTTATTATTACTTTTTTTATGTTAATAACATATTATATGCATATTATAACATTTTACATACATACATACACATATGTACATACATTATAAATTTTTTTCTTCTTTAAATATATTACAGACAGTGCAACTTATGTTGGAAACATATTAAAAATTAATTCTGTTAAAAAAGAGGATCGTGGTACATATTATTGTGTTGCTGATAATGGTGTTAGTAAAGGTGACAAACGTAATATTAATTTAGAAGTTGAATTTGCACCAGTTATAACAATACCAAGACCAAGAGTTGGACAAGCATTACAATATGATATGGATTTAGAATGTCATATTGAAGCGTATCCGCCACCAGCTGTTGTATGGCTTAAAGATGATGTTCAAATATCAAATAATCAACATTATGCAGTATCATTATATGCAACAGCAGATGAATTTGTTGATTCAACATTAAGAGTAATTACAATTGAAAAAAGACGTAAGTGAAATTAATTTATTAAGAAAGAGTCCCCCTCCGTACATTTGAACTTTACAAAATAAACAATCAATATAATTAATTATTAATAAATTCTTTTTCAAATTTTTTTTTAGAATATGGAGACTATATATGCAAAGCAGTTAATAAATTAGGTCAAGCTGAAGCAAAAGTACATTTATTCGAAACAATTATACCAATATGTCCGCCGGCTTGCGGACAAACAACACAATCTGGTGCCGAAAGAATTGCAACATCGACAATTGCTCTTGTAGGATTTATTTTAGCGTTATTATTTAGATGAATTTATTTTAGGTTTTCTTTTTCCATTTCAATTTAATATACATACATAATAATTATTATACATAAATAAGAATATAAAATAATAATTAAGAAAAGAAAAAATTAAAATTAAAAAAGTATAAAAAAAAAAAAACAAAATCGAAAAATATATTAAAAATATTTTGTACAGATTTCAACAAAAAAAAATATTTCAATTATTATAAATGAAAAACAAAAATATTATTATTATCGCCAAAAGATAATAAAAATTCATTTTCAAAAAAATAAACAAATAATAAAATAATTAAAATTTAATATTCATTTAGAATTAAAACAAAAAGAGAATATTGTAAATCACTTAAAAAACTATTTTTTTTTTTCTATTAATTTTTAGTCATTTTTAATACAAACGAAATATAATAATAATTTAATCAAATTATTTAAAAATTTTTTTAAAAATAATTTTCTTATATTCTTAAAATGTTCAGTAATTAAAAGTGTAATAAATATATAAAAATTGTGTAAAATTTTGAAATTTTATCAAAATTAATATTAATTTCGAAAATTTAGATATACATACATACACTTAAAGCTCTAACTTAAATCTCAAAAATCTGTTTTTGCATCCTTACAAACCTATAGATCATAATTAGTTTACTTTTTCAAATTTTTAATATCTTATATTTTTCTGGGTGTCTTTTAGACTTAAAATATTTTTTTACAATTTTAGAACTTTGAAAATGTATGCAGTCATTTTCGAAATTTCTTCTTCTATTGTAAAGATTTATTCACCTTGGTACATTTGAAGATTTTGTAATTTCGATTTATCAAACATACTTCATATTAACATCTAAATTTTGGACTGAATTTACGAAAATCCTCAATTATAACTCTATTATATATTTATCTTTTTGAATTTGTAATGATCTAGGATCAAGATTAACTTGCTTTTTAATAAAATACCTGCTTCCTTTCGTAATTCATCTAAAATTAAATTTAAATCAAATTTTGTTCTTTTTTTTTTTTTTTTGAGTTTTACACTTAATTACTGAATATTTGCTACATTATATAAATAATTATACACATATTATATATTATTGTCAATGTACATCATCTTTTTTAAGGCATTTGTTTTTATTTTTTTTAATATACATATATACATAATATAATATAATTCTATAAATTTATATATTATAAAAATTTAATTTAAGATGTACAAAAATTTTACATTTATAATCCCGTCCATTTATATAAAAAATAAATGATATTTTACTTATGAATTCTCTAATTATGCTCTAGTTTATATTTTTTTATATTATTTAAAAAAACAAAAAAAATTACAAAATACTATATACTATGTTTTGTAGTAATTCTTTTTTTATATTTTTTTTATTAAATTGAAATTAAACAAAAAAAATTATATACAATATTTAGAAGGTTTTACAGAAGACCAATTAAAAATATTAATTACAAGTTTATTACAAAATTATTACAATTAAAACCTTATCTAATAGAATTCATAATAATTTTAATTATTTGACAATATAATTGATGATTTTTAGTTCAAAAATTGTAAGAAGTAAGGAAATTTGAGAATCGAAAATAATTTAAATAAATATTAGTTATTTTCAATATGACTAAATTACAGCAGTACTACTTATTATGAAAATTGGTTTTTTTTTTAATAATGAATTAAAAAGAATTAAGAAGTTTTATATAAACTCTTTATTTTTATTAAGTAAAACAAATAGATGTTCGTTTTGAAACGAACGTGAATCTCAATTGTTTTAAGTAAATTCCATTACTTCTATTAATTTTTCTTAAAATCAATAGAAAGTTAAAAGTTTTCTAGTTAAAAAATTTCTAATTTAACAATTTAATATTTTCGGCTAATATTACAGATTTAGAAAAATAGCCTCCACAAATTTAATTTTGACCCTGATGTCACTTGCTTCTTATTTTACATCGATTCACTTTGCATTCTCTAAACATTATAAATGTCATTAATTCAACGAAAAATAATTATAATTTTGTATTTTTTTACAAAATATCATGATTTTATTATTAAAATAAAATACAAAATCAATAAAAATAATATCAATAAATTAAATAATCAATAAATAAAAAATACAAACTTAAAAAATAAAATCTAAAATAAATATTATAAAAGATGTACATCACAAAAATTTTATATTTTACAGAAATATTGAACTTATTTTTAAGAAATACACGTATAAATAAATATTTGTGTTAAAATTTAGAAAATTTTCAATAAATTAAAATATAAAAAATTGTATTAATTTTTTTGAATTAAATAATAATCCTCTTCAATTTTTTAAAATTAAGATAATTAAAATGTAAACGATATTGTATTTCATTTTTGTATAAGATTTTTAAATTAGAATTATTAACAAAAAGAAAAAGAAATAATAAACGAAAAAATTACTTTAAATAAAATTTTGCCTTAGCAAGTAAAGATTGATTTTTTTTTTTTTCTATAAAAAATAAGTTTTTATAATTATATTTATGTATACATATATGATAAATTGTAAAAATTATTTAATAAAAATTTTCATAATCATCAGTTAACAAAACAAAACAAAAAAAAAAAACTTTATATGAGAACAAATTACAAATAGGATTAAAAACGAAATTTCTATTAATAAAAATAAATCGATAGTACGCTAAATTTTAAAAATTTTTTATTAAATATTCTTTTTTTTTTTGGATATTTTTCGTTCTAAAAGACAACATTGGCTTCTGTCTCTTGATCACAATTCTCAATTATTAATTTAATATTATTAATTTACTTTTCGATCTTACCAAAGCATAAATATTGTCTGTTTCAATTTTGATTTAATTCTTTAAATATTTTGATCATCTTGAATTTTAATATATAAGATTCAAATTATTTTGAAATTCTTTCTTCACAATGAAACTTGCCTTTTATTTCCTCTAAAATTTGATTGTAGAAATGTAATTCAAGAATCACCATTTACAGAGACAAAGTTTGAGCCACTACTTGTTTAAGCGTTGAAGGAATTTAAGGTTGCCTGGTATATTTATTTCACATTTTCTTTTCAATTTTCTTCAAATCTAAAATTGACTTTAAGTTTATTTGCGACTGTAACTTCTAACACAGCATTAACTAATACTTGAGCATTAATCGTTAGTCTCTTTTCTCGTTTTGTAACATCAAGCTTTAATACTACGTATGCAATTATCCTTGCAAGTTATGTATATATATTAAGAATTTTTATTATTTTCCATAATAATAAAAATGTAAATAAACTTTCCAGTATACATATATAAAAAAAAAGAACAAAACAAATTTTACAACCTCCTGACCTTTATAAAATGATGATAATATAAAATGACGGTTAGGGCTGACATTTTTTATATCGAAATTAATCGATACTTACCTTATTGGTGTCGATTATGAAAAATTTGTGATCGAGCTAAATTCAGGACCATATTAAATATGGAACATGGAACTCATATTAAATAATTCGTCTTTAAAAAGAATTCCAAATAAACCTGTACAAGGCAGAATTTTGTTAATCTTCCTTAGCAATGCTTAGAGCAATGCATGAATTGAGTTCAAGTTAAGATTTAAGTTTAAATAAAATTTAATAACGATGATGTCGTTAAAAAAATTTGTAATTGCAGATGGATCTAAGAAAATGTGTGCAAGCAGTAAAAACGGAATTATTTGCAATTATGTACGACCTAAGCCTAATTGGTTGAAAAATTCAAACTACATAAAATTTTATAAAAATTAATTTTATATTTAAAACAGATTATACACTTACAATCAATTTCTACCACGATGGAATACCAAATCTTAATACTTTCTTTTGTTGAGAATCTAAATCCATTCGAACTTTCTTTCTCATATAGAAAATTGGGCAGTCCCTATTTGAACAAATTACTTCTTCATGTAATGAACCTTGGCAACGTTGACATTCGGTCCATAAACGGGAGAATTGTTCTTCCAAATCCCTTTGAATTATTAATTCTTTTTGATATAACTCGAATTCGTTTTTTTCACAGTGAGGACATAATGCTTTTTTCTCATACCCGTTCGGTAGAAGTGTTTTACATCCAAGACATTGTTCTTTCTTTTTCATAAAAGCCATTAAACCACCGACTTTGGGTGTTACAACAGTTTTAGTACGCGTATGATCACCCTTAAGTAAAATAGACTCAGCTTTTTCTCCCAAAATTGGTTCAAAAATTCGAAGCAAAGGTTTAGAAAGTTGATTTTCTAAATAATAATTTGTATCTATGCTAATACAATTATCTAAAACATAAATAGGATCTTCTGCTTTTTGATAGGCTGGAGTATTCTTCGGAGCAGAAATTATAACATATGGTACTCGATCTCCTAATTTAGGTGCAGTTCCAGGATCTCTCTTTCTCATTTTCGCAGCTAGTTCGACATGAGCCTGCTTAGCAGCATAATCAGTTTTCGTTAATTCTTTTGTAATGACCAATTGAGAAATATCGACCTTATTACAAAGCAAATCGCTTATAACTTGTTTTACGTAGTTAACAGCACCATCTGGGTCACGTTCAATTAACAACTTTTGTAAGCACATATTCATCAAATTTGCTACTAAAGGTGAATTGTCACGTCTTACTGTTTCAATACCTTTGCAGTCCATTTTATCATATTTTTCTGGTCGTGTAAAATATAATCCGGCATACCGTTTTTTGTTAATAAGTAAATATGGGAAGTAAACTTTTTCGAACTCAAGTTTGATTGGCTTAATGAATTTAGCGCTTACATATTCCGCAGCTTCACGACCTAGTTCCATACTCCGCTCCAACGTTTTCACACCAAAATTAATCATTACAGAATCTGTATCACCATATATGACAACAGCATCGTTTTCGTAACCATTAGCGCGTTTATAATGAGATTCAATTTCACTTTTTGTTTTTTCTATCATGGTTCTTCCATAAGCTGTCACACTACCAGATATCTCTAAACAAGGCAATTTTCCTACTTGCGCTCCAGTGAATCCGTAAACAGAATTTGCTGATATTTTTAACGCAAGTTGCCTTCCGTCTAGTACACTACGTTTAAATGGATCAGTCTCTACTTTTAGATCATTTTTAGCTCGCTTACGAGCTGCTAAAAGAGATTCCAAAATTTCTGGTAACAACCCTTTCCTAACAGTAGCCTTCACGAATTTATTGTTAGACGGGGTTAAAGTTATATCTTCTTGGTTCAAATCAACTTTTGTTCCAGGTTGCAGGAGTGTTGTATAACATAGATTATGTGCCATCATTATACTCGGATATAGAGAAGCAAAATCTAAAGTTGTTATCGGATCCGCGTAGTAGCCTCGTTTAGGTTCAATGACTGTTGCGCCTTCATATTGGTCTTCTGCAGCTTTTGATTGATACGAAGGCATTATATAACCTTTTGTTTTTGCTTTTCTCAGAAGTTGACTTAAAACTTTGATTTGCTGACCCCTAGTTAATAGGCTTTCTAAAGGAACTCCAGTTACTCTTGCCATCTCCATATAATTGACAATCGACATTAATTTATTCAATAATCTTATTGGCAAGTATGTATCTTTTAGACAATACATAGCAAGTCTTCTTCTAGTCTGTTCATCCCCATTTTGCAAATCTGTTATCATACTATGATGAACATCTTCTTTCTGTTCCTGAAGAAAATGATAGGATACTGCATTAAGAGTATAAGAACGCAATTTATAATCTCTTAATAAGACAAAAAGTAGATCAAACGGAACACGGCCTTCAAAATTCACATATTTATTTTCACGACGTCCCATTTGTTTTGACTGCAGAACTTGATCTTTAATTACTGATCTAATATTTTTTATTCTGCCCAAATATTCGAAATTTTTCGCTTTTAAATGTTGGGCCCTTTCAAGTAGATAGGGAATGTCAAAGTTGTTTATATTATAGCCCGTTAATATATCAGGATCCACCTCTCGAATAAAGTTGGACCAAGCATTAAGTAAATCGGTCTCTTTATCGTAACTAAGCACCTGAGAACCTACAATAGGGGCACAAACTTTTAACGTAAATACATTTCTTAAAAATGGCTCAGCATCTCCTTGTCGGATACACATGTTCGCAATTTGAATTACTGGATCTTGTTTCGCCTCCGGAAAAATACCTTTACGACCAGCACATTCAATATCAAAAGATAAAATTCTGAAAGGAGCAACTTTTGCCCATTCGCCCTCCGGTTCATGTGCTATAAACCTGTCAAAAGCCACATCAACTTCAATTTGACATCGCGACTCAGGATGTGGTTTGCTGGATTTTGTACGCATTTTGTAATTACCCGCCGGCAGTTCTATCCACGAACAACCAACAACATCAGTATCAACCATAAATCTAATGTCGAAATCTATATTGGTTTCATAGGCTCTACAATCCTGAAAATCAAACTCCTTGTATACTATTTCACGTTCTAATATTCTTTTAACTGCTGCAAGCAGTTTGGGTAAAGCCATTGTTATTTTAATAAATGAATAATCTTTCTCTCCATGATATCCCATAATAGATTTTCGTTCGACTATTTCAACATCAAGAACGGCTTCTTGTAAATTATCTTTATTATTTCTCATGTCTGCTAAAACTGCTTTATCAAGTGCATCTTTAAAAGGTTTACAATGACGCTGCTCGAAACCTTTTGGACTTCCTATATATAAATACGGGCAAAACCCATGTACATGACAACATACAGAATTTCCAGCCATCGTAATACCAAACATGCGAACTACTGGTGTTGGTGGAATTTGAGAACCAGGCATACCAGGTATTGGTGCACCAATATAATTTTCTATGTCAATTTGTTGAAAAATCAAAGCATCTTTCGAAGGATCAATATCTGGTGGGGATGGTCGGCTCCATTTTGAACTAGTCTGCTCAATTTCAGGTCCTTCACCAATTAATTCTGTTTTATCAATATCCACGGCTTCTAAAGCTGCTAATTCTGCCTCAAAACCACCCCCACCAAATTCTTCATCTTCATCATCAAAATTTCTTGCTTTCTTGAAGGGTCCTTGACCAGGATAACTAAATCCACCACCTTTACGTTTTGAATTCATTGTTCTAAAAATTCATGGAATTATCTCCTTTGGCATAGATTTGCATAAGAAAAATATTTACCTTTTATCGATTGCTTGAATCACTAAAAAACTTAAAATCTTTATTGAAATACTTGTTAGCAGCTCAATTATAAATAAAGCCGCCAAAACTTAAATATCCAGATGACAATTATGACAAATTAAGTCTTTTTTCTTTTGACAGAAAAACGATAGCAAAACACTAAAAACTTCCGTTGGAAAGTTGTTTAAAATGTAAATTTCTCAGGTAGATAAAATGTCAGTTTTATGCGACCTTTTGTAGAATTTACAAAAAAATTAAATAATCCTTATATTGTGAAATATAATAATCTTTATATTATTTTTCAAAATGATGATATGAAATGTACCTCTTCTTTTACAATAACTTTTCCATAAAACAAACTTGAAATAAATGAATAGGAATTAACAATAATAGCCCAGGTAAATCCGACAACATATTAAAAAAATTTTTGAATTTTGCTAATACTTATTTATAATATTACATAATTGTAACACTGAATTCGGATTGACAGTCAAGGATCTCGATTATGTCATTTTTCCAATAAAATTTCTTACTCATTATTCTAACTGACTTCGCATAACTGACTTAGCTTGGCAATTGTTTAAAATGATGATAACTAAATTTTATATATATTTTGGAAAAATATTTAATGATATAAAACAAACTTAGTAAAACCGGTCAAAAATAAGAGAACAACGAATATAATCAAAATTAAAGTATTTGCTGTCAAAAATTTCTTTTAATACCGTATTCATATCGAATTATTGCGACATTTAGCCTGTTTACTCGTGTACGCGTTAAGTGTATGAACAGCATTTACTTCAAATTAATACGTATTACTTTTATATGAGAAAGGATGTGAGAAAAGTTGGAGAAGGATCGTGCATTCGCTTAATGTATACATGTGTAAACAGACCAATCAGGTTGGATTTTTTATTCTTGGAATCAAGTCAAATGGTTCGTGTTTACAATAATACGATATCATTATCACATAGTGATAAGATAATCGGGATAAGCCTAAAAATAAGATTGGTTTCGGGTAAGGGTTTTTGTATAAGATTGCTAATAATCTCAGAGATCAATTCTTCTTTGATCAATTTCAAGGAAAAACTTTTATGGGTGGAATATGGATGTCGGACATACTTACATATATTTGAAGATAAAATCAGTGCATTTATAAAATTATATTAGAGAAATTTTCCTTACATTTCAAATAAAACAACATTAAAAATTTATTTAAATCATTATCATATATACTTGCATTTATTTAATAATTATAATAATCAAAGCAGTATAATTATAAATTTTTTGTTTTATAATATGGAGAACTTATTTAACTAATAATTATATATATAAAAAAAATAATGTAACAAAAAACATTTAAAAACAAAACAAATTGAATTAACCAAAAATTAAATAATATTTTTATATTATAAAAAAGATTTAAACAATTATTGTTAAATATGTTTGTATATAAATTGTACGTAGGCATATTATTAAAATAATTATAAATTTTATATTATGTGAAAAGAAATAAAATTTGTGTGAAAATTTTGGCCTTTTAAAAATCTTAAACTATTTTTTAAAATAAAAATATAATAAACGACATCATATTCATTTTTTAATTTGATTTTAATTAATATCATATGGAACCTTTAATAAAATATATATATGATTAAGTATACTGGAGTATTTAAAAACCAAAAAAAAAATTTCATGAAATAATTAAAAAAAATTTAAAATTTGATAAAATTGGGATATTCGATAATACAGATATGCCCTTCGAATTCGAATTTAAATTTTAAAAATTTGTTTTTACATCGATTCAGAGATCTACAAAAATTAACATTTTTCTATGTGATTTTTCTTTAAACTTAAAAAATATTTTAAAAATATTCTTTAAGAATGCTTTAGAATTTTGTTTATGTTACGACGATATTTGAATGTGCATCTTTTGTAGTAAAAATTTATCGGACATGCTATAATTTGAAGATTTTGTAGTTTTGATTTATTGAACATTTTAAAAATATTATAAGATCTAAGTTGAAAACTAAAATTTTTGATTAGAATTCAATTAGACCCTAAGTTAGAATTAAAATTTTTGATAATTAACCTTGTGTTACAGTAAAGCAGCTGAATAAATTAGGCAAATCTTACAATTTTAATTAATTTTTAATGTACTTATTTATAGTTAATTATAATGAATATCGTTTATTATATTTCTAAAAAAAATATATTTTTTTTATATTATTGACTTCTTCAGATAGGTAATTATTTTAAAATTACATTTATTAATAAAAATTATAAATAATAATTCATCTGATTTTAAATGATTATTTTAAATTCAAATATATTTTTTGAGTATATTTACCATAAATTTGATTATTTTCATTGATATTAAGTTTGCAAAAATAAAAAAAAAAAAGGACTCTAATGACTCTTAATTACTGGTTGTTTTTTCTTATTTTTTTGTGTTTTTCAAGTATATTATATAATTTAAAAAATATACACCATTCTTTATGTGCCCAAAAAAATAATTATTTGCTTATTTTGTATTTTGTTTTAAATATGAACACACGGAAAATTTTTTTTTGTAATTTTTTTAAATTTTTAAAATGCAGCACACAATTTTTGTTTTTTTTTTTTTTTAAAGTAAAAGAAAAACATCAATTCGACCAAAATTAATTGTAATAAAAATTGTTTATTTTTCCATAATTGTTTTGTTAATGACAATTTTTAGAATAATTATTGGTGTACTACATTTTTTTTTTGTATTAAATTTTAAAAAAAAATTTAATTTTTGGTTTTTCGTTTCTCTTATTTTCTATTTTTTTCTACTGGTATATAAAATATTTATTAAGTATATTATGTTTCTTTTGTTTTTTTTTTCAGTATAATTTTAATAAAGTTGTGTTTTTATTTTACTATCCCTAAAATTTTTGTTTTTTTAGTTTTAAAGGAAAATATTTTTTTTTTTTGTATCTTGGCATTCGAACGCAAAAAATTTTGCTAGACAAATTATATTTTTTAAAATAGTAAAAATTTTAATTATAAAATATTTGTATGTTATTGTAAGCCAATTTGAAATTTAAAAGAATTGCAGTAATACTGCAGTCAAATTTAGAGAAATAATTTACTTCAATTATGCTTGAAAATATAATGGTGTTTTAATTGGATTTAACTACCGAATTTTTGGCAATTATTTTAAGTTCCTCGTCCTGTTTTGTTCCTTTGTAAAACAGACTGTTTTAAAAAAGAAGACAAAAACTTAATAAAAAAGATAGCATAGGCATACACAACTGATATTTTAGAATTGCAGAAAACAAATTAGCTATTAAAATATAATTTTTTTTTTTTTGTTTTTAATAATAATTAATAATTAATAATAATAATGACGAAAGGATACATTTATTTTTTTGTTATTTTATTTTTTTTCTCATATTATCAAAAAGACATAAAGGTACATTAAATTTTCTTTCATATAAATATATTTTATATGAATATAAATAAGCTTTTTTTTTTATAATAAATGCATTATTGAAAACATTTTAAAGTTATGTATTATTTTTTTTTAAATTTTTTTAATTTTAAAATTCCAAAACAAAAAATATTCCAGGTATAATATAAAAAACATTTAAATTGGATTTTTTAATTTTTCAATTTCATTTCAATGATTTATTTTATTATATAAACTCATGTTTTTTTTTATTAAAATTTTAAAAGGTTTGAATTTTATTACTATAATTTACTATTATAAAAGAAGATTGTTTTTTTTCTGAATTTCAATTTTTAAAGAATTGGCCTAAAATTAAAAATAGTTAAGGCCAAATTTTTAGATTATTTTCAATTTGAACTCTTTTTGGATTTTGTTATTTTTTTTTTTTAATTTAAATTTAAAATCGCATTAATTTTTGTTACAAATAAATCAGAATATAAAAGTATATTTCAGTTCTTTTTATTTAAAATGTTAATTTTATCAAAATCAAAAATTTGACGTAGCCTGCCGTATACCATCTAGTTGTTATTGAAAATGACAAATTATATTTTATATTTGGAGGAGAAAACCTATATTGTAGTTTTAATTAAATTGAAAATAACATTAATTTTTTGTTTTAACTTCCTTTGCTTTAATTTTTAATTCTAGACCATTATTATTATTACTTTTATGTATGTACTTTCTTCGGATTTATTGATTTAGATTTTTTTTTTTTCATTTATATTTTAAATTTAGCCAGCATGAACAGACTGAAATTACAAATAAAAATGTAAAATAAATTAAATAAATAAAATAAATGAAATTTTATATTAAATAAATTTTTTAAATATTTTTTTATATGATATTAGATAATGATGTATTTGAATATGAAAAATGTTACGACGAATCGAATCTAACTAAAATTAGGTCCGCGGTGCGATATAGCGTAATTATTGTTATATTAATTCAGTTCAGCTTAGATTTGGATTCAATAACTCACGTCGAAGTTGAACTGAATTAAAGACAATAAAAGTGATAGTTAAGAAGATTAACAACTGTTATTGAGGAGATAAAATTATATGTATTAGAAAATCGAAAAAGAAACTTAAAATAAAGAAAAAAAAATTTTAAGTTAATAAAAAGTATGTAACTTTATATAAAACGTTTCTGATTAATCCTTCAAAATAATTTATTATTACAAAATATTTGAATTTTATAAAATTAAGACAATTTACTATATTGTTACGTTAAGAGAATAAACTATTACTATGAAAAAATAATAATAGAAATAGAATTAAATTTGAAATTCAATAATTAGTTCTATATTATTATGGTAACATTATTTATGTATATTATGTCAAATATTCTAATATACAAAGAACTAATATCTAATAACTATAATAAATAAAAGAATAATATTTATAATTTAAAATTTAAATAAAAATTGACTACACAAATTACACGAAATTAAATAAATATTAATGCCTATAAGATTAAATATAAAATATTTTTTTTTAAATAATATTATAATTCCAATTTTTTTAAAATTTCTAAAATGAAAACGTAAGAATTATCTTTATGTCTATATATTTCTAATGAATTTTACAGCTAAATATTTAAAAAAAAAAGAAATGATTTTTCTTTTTTTTTTAATATACAAGAATAACTACACAAAATTTCTATTTTTTAGCAACATTTGGTAATGTAAAAATAGTATATTCCATTTATTATTAAAGAATATTTGCACAACATAGAATAATATTTGTGAAAGTCTTCAATTTTCTTGTATTTTACCTATAACATCTATACAACAAAATATTATATAAAATGTATGTAGACCATATTAAATATTTTTTGCTGTAAAAACGCTACAGATATACACTTTTTTTTTTCTAAATTATTTTTAATGAGCTGATTTTTATCTAAAATGATGCTATATGATTTAATTTTGAGTAAATGAATATTAATTTTTTTTTCCTTCAAATTCTAATATTTATATGTATTTTGAGTTAGGACCTACCCTAGCAATATCTACACCAGTGATATTTTTAACGAGTTCTGGTACTTTATTGACGATATCCAAAACTTCACCAGTAAGTTTGGCAGCACCAACTTCACCAGACCCAGTGGAGACCATGGTAATTTTCTTGGCTTGTGACAAAGGTGCAGCAATTTCGGCAGCAACCTTTAATTATAAGATAAAATTTTGTTTTAAATTTTTTTTTTTATTTATTCAAGTAATTTGTCTATTTACCTTTGGTAAAGTATCCAACAACATTTCAACCATAGCAGCTTCCCGATATTCTCTGTAGGCTTCAGCTTTTTTCGCCATTTGTTCTGCTTCAGCTTTAGCTTTAGCTGAAATCGCAAAGGCTTCAGCTTCACCACGAATTTTAATCTATATAAATAATAAAAAATAATAAATATATTTATGTAAATTCTATTTTATAGCTTTGTGCATATAGTTTATAGTGATGTACAGAAGACAGTTTTTGTAATAACACTATTAACGATATACACAATAGTTATAGTAAAAAGTGCTAGTATAGTTTTTTTTTTTAATTATTAAATCTTACTGATTCAGCTTCGGCTTCTGCTTCAAGAACAACACGATATTTATTTGCTTCTGCTATCTTTTCTAAACGGAATTTTTCAGCTTCAGCTGGTTTACGTATTGTTGCTTCTAATTCTTGTTCGCGACGTTTCATTTCTTGATCTTGTACAGCAATTTCTTGTGTGCGTTCGACAACTTTTACTTGCATTTGTTCCTCTTTAATACGTTGTTTAGTTTTGGCAGCTTGTAATTCATAAGCCATTTCGGCTTCAGCTTTTTTAGTTTGAACTTCAACATCATAAGCAGCTTTTTTCAATTCAAAATCTCTTTGTGCTTTTGAAATTTCTGTATCATTAAGAAAACGTGCAGCCATACGTTGCTCTTCAGCAATAGCTTCTTTAATTTGTGCATCACATCTTGCTTCAGCTTCACCAATGCGAGCATCACGTTTTACCTCAGCTGTTCTAGCCATACCAAGTGATTTGAGATATCCCTACAAAAATTTTAAATTTTAATTATCTTTAAATTTATTTTAATAAATTCTCATTCTTTTTCTTTCTTTTTTTTTTATTTCATGTGCTTCAAAAATTTGCAAGAAATAAATAAAATACAAAAGATTTAAAATAGAGAAAAACAAAATTTATATGTATATTGTACTATTCTGGAAAAAAATTAAAATAAACATATATGTATAGATAAAAAATATCATTTCTGAATACAGCAGCAATGTTCAAAAATAAATTATAAAAACTAAAAGTTTGTATGAAATTGTTTACCGTGTCTAATCCATAGTGCTAAAGCTAAACGAAATCAAAAATAAAAACATTCCGAATAAATAATTTTTATTTTCCAATTATATAAACCAAATTATATAAAAATTTTATATTTAAAAAAAAATATTTAAAATATTATTAGTAAAAGTAGACAAAATTTCAAAAATAAAAGAAGAGGAAAAATTAAATGTTAAAGCCTTAATGAAGATTTAGTAATTAATTTTTATTAATATTTTATACATAAAGAATTAATAATGATAAACAATTTCGTGAATAAATGATATAAAATGAAAATAAAGGATTTTTAGTAATTATCGTTTAGCTTAGTTAATGCGATAGTTGAGCTTATTAATAAAGAACAGAATTACAGAAAATTGGTAATTACATGCAAGAGAAACAATCAGTACAAAAATATTTCAATTGAACACTAGACTTTCACAATTGTACATGTTTAAGTGCTTTCCATTTTTATGTTAATAAATAAAATACAAAATATTAAGTATTTATATATTTAAATTGTTTATTACATAAAAGATTTTAAGTAAGTTTTTTATTTAAATATTTTGTTAGTACTATTTTTTCTAGGGCTTTTTCACTTATCCATGCAAAACTGTAAGAGTATAAATTGTAAAGAAATCACAAACACAAATTTTTTAAACTTAAATACACTTATTACTATTAACTATATTATAAAATAATTGAATAAATAATCCTAAAAACAAGTCTGACTCTTCACTTCGTTAAAGGTAAATTAAAATAGCATTTTTTTCTTAATTTTCATGTTCCAAATTCTCTTTTATAATTTCATAGAACAATTATTTTTTGTTTTGAATACCATCGCAATGCCAGAATTTCTTTGGCATATATTGTGCATGACATTTTGCCTCTGAAAACTTTATACAGTTCGTTCGAAAATGTTATAATACATTTATTTAATTTTATGTACATTTTTTTTTCCATTTGCAATCATTTATCATTAATTGATAACACTTATATTTTTTAATTATTATATCATAGAAGATTCCCCCCTTAATTTTAGTATCCCATGCAATTTTAATACCTACTTGATTTTCTCTAATTTGATCAAGACGTATTAATGTACCGCCTGCAGCATTGCCAAGAGTTCTTGTTGTCTGTAAAATATTGTAAATTTATTAAAACCGGACAAAAATTTTGAAATTTAATAATTTTCAAATTTTCTTATATTTTCTCATAGTTGCGGAGCAATATTTTGTTTTGCTTTCCCTGATTCTTTTTTTTGTTTCCTTGCATATTAAATCATAATATTTATTATTATTCGAAATTCATTAAATTGATATATGTATGTTAATTATTATGTTTTAATATAAAAATTAAGCAAAAATTTTTGTTTTAGATGAAAATTCAAAACTTATTTCAAATATTTAAAAAAACATGTTGTAATTGTCATAGCTAAAAAAAAATAATCTGGCATGATAGTCTAAAGAAACAACTCAAAACTCGAAATGATTACTGAAAAAAAAAAAAGTTATTGGGAAACTTATCCTACTTATATAATGAATTCCTTTTAAAAATATATAATAACAGAAAAAAGAATAAGGTAATTATTTCTTCATATGCGTTAAATATGTACAAAAATTTTAAAAAAATAATCTAACTAACTAACATGCATGATTTAAAATACTATAAGTGATATGAAATGTGTATAAGTTTTATATAATAATTGTGTAGTGAGAAAATATACAATTGTAAATTATTTTTTCTAATTATACAACTATTAATTACTTATTCACAAATAAATTAAAATTTACTTTAAACTACAAATATTTATAAAAAAATTCACCGTCAAAAAATGTTGCATTTTAAAAAGTTCAATGAAATTTTTTTTTTGTAAATATGATTTATTAATTTATATTATTTTTATAAATATTTAAAATGATAATTTATTGAAGCAATTTGAAATTGCTTAACCAATTTGTGTACTTATTAAAAAGAAATTAATAATTTAAATGAAAGTTTAATAGATTCTGTCGAATTTATTTCGAAAATTTTACATAAATTTTTACAGCAGAGCAAACAGAATTTTCAAAATTTTTTGAACAATTTTTTTGCATATTTCCATAAAAAAATAATATTTTTAATTAAAATTAAATTTTATAATCAGAAATTCAATAAATATTCAATTGAACAAAATAAAACAATCAATTAAATAAGATTCAACTATTCTTGGTAAGAATTAACAAAAAAAAAAAGACTAAATTTGCATTAAAATTTAAGAAAGAAGTAGTTGACTTCTACAATAATAAATTAAATACTTTCAAAAATAATAATGAAAAAACAATAATGGAAATAACAACATTCAACAATAAAATTTTAAAACAAAATAATCACTATAACGCAACAAAAGTATTTAAGAAAAAAGAAACATACCTTCGAATCACCCTTTTTATGTTTTGTGTTTTAAATTAGATTTTGAATTTGAATATTTTTTTATTTTGTTATTGAGTAGCAATATTTTTATTTGTATGGTAAAAAAAAAAAAGAAAAAAAAATATTGAATACAAAAAATATCTACTATCATTTTCTTTTTTCATTAAAAAATTAAGGTAAATATATTTGTAATTTTATTTTTAAAAAAATTTAAAATTATTTTTGGTTTTTTTTTTTTAAATATATAGTTGAACTCAAACAAAACAAATTAAAAAAGGGAGTGGGGGAAAAAACCACATTAATGTATCAACATTCAATTAAAAAAAAAAAAGGGATTACTTAATTTTCTGTAAAAAAATAAAATAAAATTGTTTTATAAATTTTCATTTAATATTAAAATTTAAAATTATAGAAATTTCATAAGTCCAGGCAATAAAAAAAAACATAGATTATAGATTTGTACCCTTTTTCAATTCAATTAAATAAAAAATATAATATATTTATAATATTTATTTCTATTTGCAAAATATTTATGTCAAAAAAAAAAATTATTATCAATAAATTATTTATAAAATTTAAAACCTAAAAATTCTAATCAGAATATATTTTCAGTCAAAGAATATTGAGAAAAGAAAAACTCAAAAGAGACCCAAAAAAAAAATATTAACAAAAAGATCTATTTGGAAAAATATTTTAATTTTATAAAAATATATAAAATTAATATATACCGTAATATATTAAAAATATTATATACATATATTTATAAATTCATATGTATATATTTAACAAAAAAAAAAAAAAAAATAAGTATAAGATTTTCAAGAAATAAAACATAAATTTGTATAGAACAAATTATTTATGTTTATATTTTAGACTAATAAATATATAACAAATTTTAATTACCTCTTCATCGCGTATATCTTTTAATGTATATGATACAACTGTTATTCCCATATTAACAAGATCTGATGAAGCTACTTCAAAAACTTGTTTACTGAATTTTTTACGATCTTTATATATTTCTTCTACAGTCATTGATCCCATTATAGCACGTTGATGTCCTTCTAATGTTACTAATGCAATATGCTGAATTTCAGCTTCACTTTTATCAAGAAATTGTTCGCATGCTGTTAATAGCATATCTTCGTTTTGTCCTTGAATTTTTACTTGAGCAATTCCTGTTACTGAAATTGGTACACCTTGACTCGTATAAACACAAGGACTTTCAACTTGAAGTGTCATTGTATTTAAGGATATTCTAAAAATTTAAAAATAATTAAACTGCGTATATAGTATGTATTGAAACAAAAAAAAAGAATAAATTATTTACCTTTGAACTTGTTGAACTGCTGGCCATACAAATGCCCGACCGCCCGGTACTAATAGTGGTTTCATATAACAGCATCCTAAAAAGAAAATGATAAATGAATTTATTAATTTTTCATAATTTAAAAATATTTTACACTTTTTAATTGTTACTCCTTGATCAATTTTAATCTTAAATTAAAATAGATGTAGGAAGGTAGGAGGATTAACAGTACTAAGATAAGTAGGTATATAATTTTATTATATGTACCAAAATGAGGTTTACAATTAAAAATTATACTATTTTTATTCAAAATTTTTCTAAAATTCTTATCGAGAAGATAACCTTATCTATTTAAAAAAAATAATTATGGAAAAATAGTAGGTATGCATGTTGGTCGTTGGGTTGGTCGGTACCTAATACATGTATACATACATCTATATACACACTTTTATAATGGTAAATAACGAAAAAAAACAATAGACAATAAAAATAAATTACTTTTTTTGATTGTTTAATTATTCTAATGAAAAAATTAAATTAACAATTTATCTACTTGAAAGCTTATTTTATAGGAAAATACACTTGAATTCATTTTACATATTATTATAGAGTTTGGTGTTAATAAAATATTTCTTAACGTATTAATTGACCTATAACATATTTCAATCAAAAATTTTTGGAAGCATAAGCATACGCATATTGATGAAGTTCTAAAAATAAGTTTCTAAATATTTTAAAATCTTTTCAAAAGCTCTCTATTTGTGTGTACATATTTGCAAATTAATAGATCGAAAATTTATTTATTTTTCTTTTACTTTATTTACAAAATTCTTGAATGACATCATACCTTACACATACACACAACATATGTATTAATTCTAAAAACCCTTTAACAGCAAACAACACCCCAATTATCTTGATTTTGATTTGAATCTCGTTTTTTTTTTTTAATAATATTTAAAAATCAACAATTTTTGCGAATATTTTGTTTCGAAATCCTATATTATAATTGTAATTTTAGAACTAATACGTTTTATGATTTTAATCAACAATAGTACATACCTGAGACTACTAATGCCTCATTTGGACCACAAGTCACAAAACCCCACGGCATATTGTTTTGAGTACTTTTATTTTAATAGGATCAAAAATTATAAAATTAAATTTATTTTATAATCAAATTTTTTGGCTTGTTAAAATTTATTTAGTTATTTTCGTTTTTACAAAAAAAAATTTCTTGTTTTTTATATTCTTTTTATAAAATTTCAATTAAATATTTAATAGAGGTTTTGCGACCCTTAAATCAAATTACATCATTCCTACTGACTCTTTCTTTCTAATCAATGTTTAAATGAAGTTTGAAGTTGTGAAAAAGAGGACGCAGGATTAGATCAAATGTCAAAACAGTGTTACCGTTTATTTCAAAAGTAATTATGTATAATAGCACGAATAAACAAGTAGTCATACACAATTAAACATTTTATGCACAGTTATTGAAAATTTTCAGATTTTTAGTTTCTTCAGATTTTCTTACACAGTGAATGAAGACAGATCTACTTGATCAACATATTCTTTAAAGAAATATCATATAAAATCAGTATAAATACCTGTATTTGAATTTATATTTATTTTTTTCTTTAATTGTTTTCTACTTTGATATTTTTTCATTGTTTTCTTCCTTATATTTTTGTTAAAAATAATCAACTTTATCAAGAATTTTATTCATAGCACTAAATTTTATAGAAATTAAGAGAATTCCGAAAATATAAATTACATATATTGAGAATATATGTGATTACAAAAATTTGAGAAAAATCCCCTAAAAACCCTAAATTTCCCAATCGCATTTATTTTGGCAACAGTAAAATATTTAAAAGAGCGTTAATTCTCCTACACCTATTCAGTTCGTTTCATATTCCCTTACATCAATGTGAAAGGTTTGAAATTTCTTTTTAGAAAAAGTATTTTGAGAGAAGAATTAGAAAACTATAATATATGTCGCATACAAAGATAGCGCTAGCTGAAAATTCTTATTACTGTCGCTAGCTGAAATATTATTTTATTATGTATTTTTTTCATTTTGGTGTCAAAAGAATTGTCAAAGAAAATCTACATTTGGCCGTCAGGCGAGATAAGTAAGTTTTAATATTTTGATTAATAAATTCAATTTTAAATTTTGTTAAAATTTTCAATTTTAATTGATTTCATTATAGTTTCATTTTTAAGTTAAAAAAATATTAAATATTTAATAAGTTTCGAAAAGTTTTTTAACTAATTTAAATTTGTAGGTTTGAATTGTAAAAATTTTGGTTACGTAAAACACCAGAAATGGCTTCAGTTAATAAATTCGCTTTAATCGCCCGTAATTTAAGTACAACATCATCGGCTTCCCAAATGGTAAAACCACCAGTTCAGGTATTTGGAACTGAAGGCCGTTATGCTACTGCATTATATTCAGCTGCCACAAAAATGAAGCAATTAGATCAAGTTGAAAAAGATCTAAAATCTTTACAAGCAACAATGAAAAGTGATGCAAAATTACGTGATATGATTGTTAGCCCAATTATTAATCGTAAAGTAATGGCAAATGCCTTAAAGGATACAACAAAACAACTGAGAATGTCAGAAGCTACAAGCAATTTATTGCAAACTATGGCCGATAATGGCAGATTGAAAAGATTAGATGGTATTATCAATTCATTTAATACTATTATGGCAGCCCATAGAGGTGAAGTTGTATGTGAAGTTGTTACAGCTAAACCTCTTGATGATTCCCAAAGAAAGCAACTTGAAGGTGCATTAAAAAAATTCTTGAAGGGAAATCAATCTCTTCAATTGTCAGCAAGAGTTGATCCTTCACTTATTGGTGGTATGGTTGTCTCAATTGGAGATAAATATATTGATATGAGTATCGCCAGCAAAGTCAAACTGTACACAGATTTAATTTCTCAAACAGCTTAAGATGAAAGTAAATACATATTGTTATTTTTAATCTATATATAAAGAAAATGTTCTGTGTTTAGAAACTTGTAATTCAAAGCAGAGAAAAATTATTAAACGAAATTACGAACTAAAATTTCAAATTTTTGTATTTGTCAACATTTATAGTTGAATTTTCATAATAAAATGTGCAACTAAGTTTAGTCAAATAGTTATTAGCTTATTAAAATTTTGAATAAGCTAGTTCTTTATACTAAGAACTCTCCATGTTAATAAATGGTCCAATATTTCTCACAGCCAATGCTCTTTTAAAAATTTTGTTAATGTGAATTCTATAGGAAGGAAATTATAACTTCTATCAATATCAATCCTTAGCCGGGGCGAATTGAAAATATGTTTGCAAGTGTTAAAGGGTCCCACTAATATTAGGTAGTTAGATCTCTGAATACCTATGAACTAAATTTACAGCTAGCTCCTCATTATGGGTATCTGGTGTAAAAATGCTTTTTCAATTTTCTTTAAAGGTGTTCTTTATAAAATATGCCAATTTTGAAGCTAATTTTTTCCTACTATCAAATTTAAAGTTTTTGTAGAAGAGCAATTTGCACTGCCGTTTTACCAACAAAAGCTTTTCTGAAATACTTCACAAATATTTCTTAGCTTTAAAATCTCAAAGATTAACAAATATAAATTAGAAACAAGATTTTTAATATTAATTTATGTTTATTTTGCGGTTCTTGACATAAATTAAAGTCACACTTTATAAGCTTAATCTTCTTCTTCTTCACCGCCTCCACCTCCACCACCTTGGTTCTTCTTCATGTTCTTCCTCTTTACACGACCAGGACGGCCACCACCAAATGGTGATTTCAGAGCAAAATCAATGTGCTTTTGTGATTCCAATCGTACAACGAATGATGGAATATTTACTACTTGTTTTCGAACGCTAAATCAAAATAATATTATAAGAGTTTATTGCTATTATTATTTTTAGAACAAATGTTTTACTTACAAAAACTTCATTATAAATTTTTTTTTATGTAAGACATTGAAAATCAGTTTAAACTAATTTTCAAGTGGCCTTACTGAATATTTATATGTAAATGTTTGTTCTATTCACAGAAGTTATATTGATATTTACCGAATATGTCTTTGACGAATTAAAACACGTGCATGATGGATAGATTTGGCTAATCCAAGTTTAAATACTTGTGTTTGAAGACGTCTTTCTAAGAAATCTTCGATTTTTAAACCCAAAACGTAATCGAGTTTCATGCGGGATTCATCTAATACACCAATTTGAACCAATCGACGTAAAAGGGCATTACCTATGAAAAAAAAGTATAATTAAATATTTTTATTTAAGTTTAATTTAAACATTTATTTGAATCGGATCAGTGGGTATATATCGACAAAACATTTCCGTCAAGAAGTGTCAGAAATTTTAATACAAATCATCAAAAAGAAACGATCATAAAATTTTGTGGGTAAAGGAAACTTTTTTCAAATTACCTTGGAACAATCTTTTTTCATCTTTTTCTTCAAGTGTGAGCAATTCACGAGCAGCTTTACGAATCTTAGCTAATGCATATTTCACACGCCATACTTCGCGTTTATTCCTTAGACCATATTCACCAATAATTTTTAATTCTTGATCTAAACGTGCCTTTTCATATGGGCGACGTGGTGTAACATAAGTTTTGGAAAATACTGACGGGATACGTCCGTTAACCATTTTGGTAATTTATCCTTAAATAATATTAAATTTGTTTAAATAATAAAATAATTAAATAAAATAATTATAAGTAAAATATTTAAAATAAATAGGGGAACTTTTGATAACACACCTACCACCTAAGCGTGGAAATCCGGAAAGAAAGATGAAATAATGACGTTTCGCTTGTGCCAAATTCATTGTTTCTCAATAAATGTTGCCGTTTCAAAAAAAATTATTCCAAACAAGCTCAGTACTGCCAATATTAAGAATTGAATTGAAAGTGTAATATTTCCATTAAATTCCATTAGATACTAATTTTTTTGACTCTCATTGACGACACTCTTGTACAGGAATTATTTTGGGTTATAGGTAATTTATTTGCTCAAATTTCATAATTTTCTTTAATTTAATTAAAAAGTCTGTAACAAAATTTTTTAGGTTCTCCTTTTTTATGCATTTTCGAGAAGAAACTTTCACTGTATTACCGTAATAAATAGGTTTATTCCGTGGAATGTCAAAAAAATAGGGAAATTATAGACATTATGCAGGTTTACCGCTGTTATTTCAACATTTGTTACCGTTATTCAATACTGGCTTTTATGTCAAAATTTTCTTTTTCTTTGTTTTTTGACTGAAAAAATGAAAAAAAATTGTTAAATTTGGCAGTCGAATATAAAAAATTTTATTGTTTTATAAATCATAAATATTTATTATTAATTTTTTTGTTCCATTTTCTAAAAGGTATGTACATATTTTTCGAGCTTTATTTTCTTTTGCTTTTTTCACGAAAGAACTTTGATATCTTTATATCAAATATTATGAATTTTATCCTCCGTTCTCTTCCAGTGCTTAGGTCTCTGTAATATAAAAATTTGAATATACAGATATTTCAAATTTATCAAATTGATCCTTTGGCACATATGTAACATAGGTACAATATTATTTGGGTACCAGCAAAGTATAACCAGCATTACTTTCGGAAAATTGAATACTTGGAAAAATTTTACTCAAGATTTCCGACAACTGAAAGTAATAAAATAAAATTTATTTATTTTAAATAATACAGCAAAATATTTAAAACTTATTATTTTTACAATAACATAAATACTTTGTGGTGTTAAGGTTATATTTTTCACATTATAATTTTCCCTATCACCATCCAAAATGAAAACCAAAATTTGTATGTAGTTCAAATCGCTTTTTTTTAAATAACTTCATTCGTGACATTAAAAATATGTTTTATAAATGTTTTTTTATTAAATTAGTTAAAATATTATATAAAAAGAAAGTTTTTATTGAAACAAAAAAAATTGGAATTTGTAGTAATTGCAATTTTAAAATTTAATTTTTATTTTGACGATTTTTAATGCCTTATATAGTGCTGAAATTAAAATCAGGTGACAATTTCATTAATTTCTATTTGATAATTTTGAGAAATTCTATATTTGAATAACACACTATTATATTAATCTATTATAACTATTATACAAATCAATGAATGTATTCGTAAGATCTATTCGCTACATGCTAGTGGCATTCAAAGTTTAATTTTTGTTTTGGTTGCATAATATTCAAATTTGAACAATTTCTTATTTGGAAATCCTCCAAATTAGAAAAACAGTAATAAGCTGCTCATTTAAAAAAAAAATTATTCTTAAGATTAAAGCCTTCAGTTAAAAAGAAATATTACTCTTTTTTATAAACCTCGCACAGACTATTAAAATAGATTTATGTAATTCTATAAAAAGCATTTTCGTAGCAATTTTTAATATAAAAACGATCTCTAAATTTTCTTGTTTAAAATTTCTTTTCAATTAATTTGAATTTGTGTGACTTTTATTAATTGTCGTAAGACATAATTTAAAATATAAGCTCCGTTTGATAATAAATTTACAAACAACAAAAAATTTATATAAAGCAATTTCTATTTACATTTTATCTGAAATGTTTTTACCGGTAAAGGTAAAATAATTATTTTAATTTAATTTATTTAAAGCAGTTTAATATTTTTGTTAAAATACAAATTTGAAAGCATGCAACAAAATGCATATTATATGCATTTTTAGTAAAAGCAACAAAATAAATTATCTAAATTAAATAAATTAAATACAAAAACATTTAATTTTAATTCTATTATGAATTTTATTTTTGATCTCAAGATATGTTAAAAAGCTTACATATTGTTAATTATATTCAAATTGACTTTAATAATATCTTAATAAGGTTCTCTTTTTTAATTAACCAAAAAAAAAAATTTATAACTACAGTTTCTATTTTTAATTTTTTTGTTCTTTAATATAATTAATTATCGTTTAAAATAAAATATTATGTATATTAAATATTTATAAATATTTATATAGAACAAATATGAGTGTATGTATAACAAAAAAAAAAAAAAATAATTATGTTTAGTATTTTTGTTCTTTCTTCTATTATTAATTTAAAATCACATTATATATTTAGTTTTTTTTAATATTTAGTTAAAATTATAAAATATAAAATTTACATAATACCATTGTATTTCTATATATACATATATTTATTAATATAATTTTTTATATATACATGTAATTTACAATTTTTGTTCGTTGATTTCATTATTTCAATAACAGTCATTAAAAAACTAAACGAATAAACCAAAAAAAAAAAAATTTTATTTTAAATTACGTAATCTTAAATTAGTTGTTTTATATATGAGAGAATTAATATTTTTATATTATTTTAATTAATTTTTTTTTTTTTTCATAATTTCATTAATTATACCTTTCCTAACGTATTATTTAAATGAGATTTTCTACGATATCCACGGAATATAAATAATTTAACAGCAAATATCATCATTATAATACATGATCCATATAATATAAAACCAAAACTCATATCCATATCAGAGAATACATTACCCATCATTTGGGATTTTTTAGAATTTTCTAATTGATCCATATTTAATGAATAATAACTAATATTTTGATGATTATATATATTTTTTAAAAATTGTAATATTTCATGTTTATTCCAATTAATTTGATCTAATATTGGTGATGCTGATACTTCTTTATTATAACATTGATGACATGATGATGGCGGCGGAAATTGTAATTTTGGAAATTGTGGATCTTCTGTTTCATCACCAGCTAATCTTTGATTAACTTCATTATGTGCTGACCATAACCATAATATAGCATCATCTTTACTAGCTACATTCCAAATTTTACGACGTGATGCCATTTCCTAAAAGAAAACAATTAAAAAGAAGAAATAAAATTAAATAACATAATTTCTAATTTAATAATGCACTAATATAATAATAAATTTTATTAAAATAAATACATAAAAAAATAAAATAAATTGCAATATTATATTTATACCAAAACTACTTATGTATATTAGCCGGCAATTAAATTTTTAATTCTGTGAAAATTTGCCAAAAAATCCGGACAAAATAAATTTCAATTAATTTTTTGCTGTTACTCGTAATTAATAACAAAGAGAAATGTTTTGTTAACCCATTACCTACAAATATTTTCCATCGTTAAAAAAATGTTCATGTATTATAAACATTTGTCAAATTGACGACAAATTGTCAAAAAATTTTATGTGAAATTTTTTATGATTACGAGTAGTACTGGCAACCGCTATGAAACATTGAACTCTAACAATAACTTTTGTATTATTTGATAAAAACATTGAGATCCATAAAGTAGACGAATGAACTTGTTAATTGATTTTTAAATTTATTTCATTTTCAGTCAAAATTAATGGCATGTGATAGAGGGTTAAAAAATATTCTTATTGAGATTAATCACAATGAATTGAATTAAAATTATTTAAATAAATAAAATCAATTTTACTTATTAAATTCATTAAATTGACGTTAAAAATTTGTTTGACGTCAAAAATATAATGTTGTAGAGAAGAGGATGGATGGTGGGATATAGGGTTTAATAACATTTGTATGGATTCTAAAAATATTTATTTTCATTATTAAATTCTTGGAATAATAATTTGGTGATGTTTTTGCTAATAAATGAATGAATTTCTTAACAATGAATATTTTAAATTTACTTAAAAGTATAATTATTATTTTTCAGTTGAATAGTCACGATTGTAAATGTTAAAATTTATAATTTATTATAAATTGTAATACTCGTATATATTATAGTTTTCTCTATTATACAGTTTTACGCCAACTTATTAAATTTTTTATTGCTGCAAAATAATTTGTCGTTAGTTTGAGAAATGTGTAGGACATATTGATTTTAAAATAAGAGTACAATTGTACAAATACAATTCGAAAGGAATTTGGAGAAAATTTTGAGTTTTAGAATACTTAAATTCTTTTGGAAAATTATTATATTCTCAAAACGCTTAACATACTAATGATGTAAAAAGACTTTCTTAAATTTATAAAATAAAATGTCAAATTTATTTTGAAATTCAAACCATTTTCGAATGCAAAACGTCGGATTCGATTCATTCAGGTTTTACTGTTCGCCAATTAACAATTCAAGTTGAATTCATTTCATATTTTGTGACTATTTAAAAAAAAAAAACAACACTACAACAAAACTAAGCTTATATTTTTATTATTATTTTATTCAGGTATTAAATAAAAAAAGAAAAAAACTTTTTAAAAGAATAAAACTTTCTAAACCGGTATAAAAATAAAAAGTTGTATAGACCTCAGCTTTTTAGAAAAGATACGTCATTTAACCAAAATATTATATTTCATATTGTGTTCTACTAAATTAACATAAAAAATACACAAAGATTAAATACAAAATATAAAGTTGAATGTTGAACTTTTAAAAAAATATACAGTGTATGTCAAAATTAAGTGTACACAAGAAATTATTTGCTTTAATATTAAAAAATTTTATTCTATAAGTATAACACTTTTCACATTTGATTTTGAATGTATTGAATACCTTTTGTCCAAATACAGAGTTTTGGATATTATTTTTAATGTGATCTGAATATACGTACATAGGAGAGAGTATACATACATAGGAGTAGAGCAAAGAGCAGAGCAGAGGTTTGTTATAGTCCCCTTTTTTTTATGAAAAAGTAGCTTGTATTTCATATACATATAGAATTATAACAAATTTAATAAAATTTTTGGTTAAAATTTTTAATTACAGATTTTATAAATTTTACAAATAATCATAAAAAATATTTTTTTATATTTATCAATTTTGTAGCAAAGAATTTTAAGTTTTATCATTTAATTTTGACAGTTACTGCATATATACAATCATATATACACATTTTGTACAGCTAATTTTACACAAAGCCATCTTTAATACTTAATATATACAACAAAAGTTTTATGTATATTAAAATGAAGAAAAGTTTGAAAACCTTTTAAAAAGTAAGAAACAAGTAAATAAATATTAAAAATTATAATTTAAAAAATAAAAACAGAATTATTAAACTTTTAGTTATAGCTACGAGTACGTTCTCTTGTATATACCAAAAATATTTGCATAAGAGCTTTCAATAGAAATTTTTAGAACAGCGAATATTAAAATTTAATATATTTGCATATAGACAGTAATTTCTTTATTAAGATTTTATTTAAAAAAATTTTAAAATTCTGAAATTGTTAAATTTATTGGCATTACATAAATGTTTACAAATAATGGAAATGAATTATGAAACATATTAATTAATAATTGTACAGAACTGTAGAAAATTATAAGAGAATTGAGATTAGGCATAAATTGAGCAGCCTAAATAAAATAAAACTATTTATTCCAAATAGATGGGGCTCTAATATTTTTGTATTAAAATTAAATGTCAAATTTATTTAAAGTTTACAAGTACACTGTATTAAATTAGAATTTCACTTCTTGTGACAAATTGAACATTCGATTTTTTCCTATTTACTTATAAAAGTAATGAAAATTTTTAGCGTAGCTAATATTACAACCATTTGAATTAAATTGTGCATAAAAACAAAAATTTTAATAGAAAAATAATAAAAAATTATTGAAGCAATAAATTTTTACAGTTCAATTGTAATTTTGTAATAAAAAATATAATGTGGAGAAATATTTTTTAAAAATATACTTATATATAACTAGTATTTATTAAGTTTTGTTGCCTTATTTCTAAAATGTTACTAATAATACTATTAATGAATTTAAAAAAGTGACAGTGTTCGTGTTCTATTTTACTTTTATGTACAGCTATACATTAAAGTTTAATAGAACGTGTAAATATACCTGTAAGTGTATATTCCAAGCATGTATAACACTTTTAATTACACAAAAATTATTTCATGCTTGCGTATAAAAATATTTAGAAAGAGTAGTTATGCTTATTTATTACAATTTATAGTAGATTCTTTTACATTTTTATTTAAATTTATAAATTAGATTTTATTCTAATGTATAACTGGGTTTTATTATAATAGAGCGTTTTATTTACACAAGGCTCCCAAATACACCGAACATATTTAGGTTATGTTGAATATTTTTAAATAAAATTGCAGTATTTTTTTCAGAACGATTGTACGAAATCTTCCACTACATCCGTGAACAATTTACGACTTCCATAATTTTAATCGTATAACAGTTTCTTTATTTCTTATTTTTACCGTTGTGTTATTATTTTTAGTTTCTAATAAAATTCTAACCTAAAACTATGACTATGGTTTATCTTTCATAAAATATTTTATTATCAAACAAAAATACGCAAAAATCTAAATATATAGAATATTTGTCCGGGTAAAAAAAAATTATTTTCATTTTCTGAAATTTTTCAACCGTGAAGGTTGTAAAAGAAGATTCAATATTTCATTGTTGGTGCCATTTAAAATTTACTAGTACATATACTAATGGAACTACAACCATAGTTAAATTGTATTTTAGCTTCAAAAGCAACACAATGAAAAAAAAAACACTGAGAAAAATACTAATTATTTTGTGTTCGACTTTTTGCCATTATGAATATTAAATAAGAGTTATGCACAAGCACACCTTTTCCTACTATACAAATTGTAAATAAATAAGTAAATAAATTGATTTTTTTTATTAGTGCAACTTGGCATATAGAAATAATACGAAAAATTGTAATTGCAAATTTTGATTAAGGTTTTTAGGGTAATATTTTTGGACAATCAAGTTTCGCAAGCATACTTTTAATACTAAAAACGTGTAATTTATAAAATTCATAATTATTATGATAAATATAAAAAGCTTTTATTTTTATTAAAAAAATAAAGGCACTGAAATATCAGAGTTGAGAAAAAATAATTAATATGTGCGTGCTTCAAAATTTTGAATATTTAATTATCTATACTTTTAAATAAAATATTATATTAAATATTTTAATGAATTGAAAAACATTGATTTTCAATTTTTAAATGACATTTAGATTGCTATCCCATTCTAAGTGTCATGCTACTTTTTTATCAATAATAAATTAAAAGGAACTACCTGAATGGATGTGTACCCCGAATTGGTGGTAAAATGTTTTCATACTCGTAAATTTTAAATCAAGTGACTTAAATTAGCTACGCGTCTACGTAACGCGTATAACTATTATTGTCATTTAGGGCGAACTTAGAATTTAACATTTTAAATTTCTTTTGAAAAATAATTTTGAATTTTAGAAAGTTAAAAATTAACAATATTAACGCACTTATCCTTACGTAAAATTACATATGTATATGCATTACATTACACGAGTGTGTTCAAGTCCATTATCTTATCCGTACATGAGTATTCAAGTATCGTACGTACTACGCGCTACACACCCATTTAGATAGATCTCCTAAGTATTAATCGATAATTTTGTAATTGAATTAAAGCAAAAAACCTCTATTGTTAATATAGGCATAAATAATGAGGTAAATTTTAAATAGCAATATGTTTAAATAAATAAATTGGAATAAATAAATATAGCCTCAATATTTTTCAATAATCCTTAACAAAATAACTAATACTTATTAAATTTATTTTATAGAAGAAAATTATAATTTTATATTTTTATATTTTATTCATTAACTTTTCTTTTTTTAATTTATTAACATTTTCAATTACAAATTGAATTATTAAAAATTTTAAAATAAATAAGTAAATCATTTCATCTGTGTATATATATATACATATACGTAAATATTATGTGACTTGAACACTTAAGTAAATAAAGAATATTTTAATTATTACCCCAATTTCACTATCATCATTCTACCTCAATTTTACCAGCTTTCATTATTTATTTATTTATTTATATAAGCCGTAAAAAGCGTAATATTTTTTTTTTTTGTACAACATGGGAAAAAGTTGTTATATAAATAAAAAAATATTTGCAAAATCTTAAAAAAAAAAAAAAATATTTAACAATAAATACCAACAAAAAAAAAATATATAGGGTAAAAAAAATGAACGTGGGAGTAAGTATACGTAATCGTAAACTTCAAAATGTCACAATGCAGCAGAATTTTAAAATAAAAATGAAAAATAGCTGAAGTTGTCAAAAAAGAAAAAATTAAATAATTTTTTTATTGTTAATGTTAAATTTGTTAAAAATTTTAAAATTGTAGCCAAATTTTGTTAATTGTATGCATACTAAATAAAGTTGACCGTTCTTAGGTAACAAATGACCGCAGACTGTATAGGTGACAAATTTTCAAAAGTAAGCAAACAAAAAATATCGCCAAATTTGATTATGCGAAAATTTTGTACAGAAAGTAAAATGACTAATGGGTTCAAATATTTAATAGATTTTTGACAGGTTTTTAAAATTTCTTGTTTAATATTTACATAAATTATTTGTTGTTAAAAATAAAAAAAAAAACTAATGAAATATGTAAAAGAGAAATATAAAATTTTGAACTTTAACTGAGCCCAAAATTACATTAAGGCATCTTCAAAAATATACTGACAAAAATGTAAGCAAAGAAATGTTTTATATTGTTAGTGATTTTGATTGATGACCTCACTTAATTGAAAACTAGAAAAATTATTTTGATTTCTATATAAAATTTGTGTAAAAATATTGGCAAAATTGATGAGGTTTTTCTTTGTTAGTTTAATAAACGCAATGTCAACTCGTTTTTAGAATGACTATTTTAACGTAAGCAAGAATTAATAATAATTAAGAATCATAGTGCTTAAAATTAATAAAAATAAAAAAATAGTGATAATTTTTTTGAGTTTACACGAAAAATAATTATAGCCTTTAAAATCTTGAAATGCAAATGGTTTTTTTTGTGTCATATCTCTTTTACCATAACAGAATTTGTAACGTGACAGAATGACTTAAATTAAAGTTTAAGAAACTTGAAAAAATTCTGTAACAAAATTCTGAAAAAAATTTTCTAAATTCTAAAAAATTTCGTAAAATTTAATTGAATTTCGTGTATTTCGAAAACCTTCAAGATATCATACTTATTTCTAAACAAAAATTTTATTCATTTTTGATGCCCTAAAAGATGGTACATGTTAAAGTACTTATTATTGAATCACACTGTATGTATATATAAGTAAATGAAGAATATGAACATTAAGTAAATGAAGAATATGAACATGAAAACCTAGTTATTTTTATTTAAGTATATCAGAAACTACAACCTAATAAAAAATTATAATAGTTTTACAACAACAGGAAATTTAGAATCATAAATAAAATTTGCATTTGTATTTCTAAACATGACACCAAAAATATTCACTATTAAATATTAAAATTAAATTTATTTAGAAATTCTCATATTACTAATCATATTTAATATTATGCTTTGTAAAATTTTCAAAATAATAAAACTAGTTTAATTATATAAACGTATGACTATTTACAAAATATAAAATTTTAATTGATAAAATTAAAAATTATTGTTATGACCCAACAAATTGCTTTTTCATTTTTTAAAATAAGTACGTGCTAATTTTGTAATTTGACAATATGATCCTATTCTGGGTAATATTAAATATTTAAAAATTTCTACAATTTTTTATTTAACTAAATACATATTTTGTTTTTTTTGTATATCATTCAATAATTGATTAATTTATTTTTTTAATATTTATTTGAAAATTAAAAAGAAAAAAATATTTAATTTGGATAACATACGTGCGAATATGTCAATAGATATGTCAACGACAAATTTTTCAAAAAAAAAAAAAAAAAAAAACAAAAATCAAAATTAAATTAAATTTTATAATAAGTACGTACAATATTTTAAATAATTATTTTAAATTTTCCAATATATGAACAATAAATTCAAGATTAAAACTTCTTCACTTTTTAATTAGTTGTACTTAAGGGAAGGCAAAAAGCAAGAAATAATAATAAAAAATAGATAAGAAAATAAATAGATGTTTATTAATTATTTTCTTATCAATTATCACATTTTTTTTTTATAACAATTTTTTTTTTTAATTATTAAATCACGAACATTATTATTTTGGATTTTGCCTGTTTTTCAAATCGCGTAATTCTTTTTATCAAAATACAGGGGCTTATTATAAATATACACAGATACATATAAGATAATTAATATTTTATAATTGTTTAAATTTTTAGTAAAACAAATTCTAATTATTAATTTTATCAATTTGTTTTTTGTTTGTTGTTATTCTTAACATACTATAATAATTCAATTGTTTGATAAGTGGTGTAAATTTAACATAAAAAACGTGCTTTAATGTAATTTTAATAAAAAAATATTTTTTTTTTTGATAAATAATAAAAATTATAAACAATTACATATTTTGTTTTTATTAATTATAAATTAAACTATTAACATAATAATGTTAATAATTTGATTTACAATAATGTATTCCATTGTTTAATTACACAAAAACAAATTCGCCGTGAAATTAAGTTATTATACTTAATACGAAAAAAAAATTAAATTATGCAATTATTAGTATTAATAACATTTAAATGAGGTCATTATTTTAATTTTGAATGAATATAAAAAGTATGTAATAAATGATGTTAATGACTTTTTCAGAATACATGATGTTAATTTAATAATTATTTAGTGTTCGAATAAAAAATATAAGCTTTTCGTTTAGTTTTTACAATGATTTTGTATATATAATATATAATTGTAAGTATAACAAATGAATACTTAGTTTTTATAAAATAATAAATTTTCCAATTGTTTCATTTCTTTACAATATCTTAGAATAAACTATTGTATTATAAGAATAGAATTTACAGAATAAATCAATATATGTACATGAAATTTTAAATGTACATCAATTGTTTACCGCAAAACTAATATGACTCAAAACCCTGCACATTTAAGAAAAACAAATATTAAAGTAAATGGAATTTAAAATATTTTCTCGCTATAGAATTATTTCATAATGTATTTTAAGAGATAATTTTCAGAAAAGCTAGTTTAAGCTAGTAATGTTTTAAGTGCTTATTTCTAAATATATAATTCAGAAATCACATTTTTTTTTAAGTTATGCCAATAATACAGTAATGAGCAATTTGTTTTTACAGAAAATTCTACGAATATTAACTAATACTAATAGTGCTTATATTTACAATATATTTATTTACCTGAAAATGATTTGAACAATCTGTACAACCAAAGAAATGTTTAACATAACCATGTATTGCTTGTAAAACTTCAATTGGATCTTGTGTTTCTTCATTTTCTGCTGCTTGTACAGTTAAATAATGAAATAATTTCCATAGGCCACATGTAAAACCTCTTGATAAATGTTTAGAACCAATACAACCAATCCATAAATCAGTTGTTGCAAATAAAGGCACATCATTATCATTAACAATATTCTTTATATAATTTTCTAAATCATTTCCATATATATTTTCATTATTTATTTTAACATAATCATATAATTTATTCATAAATTCTTCACCATTTTTACCTAATGGACTATAACGTTTTATAATACTAATAAAATTTTGTAAAGCTAATAAACGTTCACCATTTATATTAATATATTTTGGTATTTCATGAAATAATGCATAATGTAATGCATGATCTAAATCAGCTCTATATACAACATGAACACCATGATCTTTAACATATTCAATTATTTCACTTATATTATTATAAATATCTTTATGTTGGAATGTTATTATGGAAGTATGTTCAGTTGTTGAATATGTATATAAATTTTTTTCTTCTAAAAATTTAATTATATGATTTTTAAATGATGTTTCATTTAAATTATCGGAATGTATTTGTTCAATATTTGAATTTCTTTTATCAATAATTGATATTGTTGTTGGTGTTACTATATTAAATGATACTGCAATATCTGGATTCGTTGTACGTCTTATTTGTATTGAATCATATAAACTAAAATCTAATATTAAATTTGATCCTAATGTTGAATTTTCATTTTCATATATTATTAAAATATATTTAATTTTTTCAGGAAGATTTTCAATTAAATGTCCTATATCTTTATTTGTTATTTCAGAAAAATCTGGCCAATAATTATCAAAACGTGATTCATTCATTGCTTGAATTATTAATGTCTGAAAATAAGAAAAGAATAAAATTAGTTTTTTTTTTTATATTTTTTATTTAATTTTACATACAATACAAGTAAATATTTATTAAGTTTATAATTTAAGGTTGAATGTTATCAAGACCTTATTATACACACAAGTATTTATTCATCAATATATAAAGTATAATTTATGTGAATTAAAATAAGATTTGTGCCTTATTCTAAAAGGCACAAATACAAATATTTAACAATATTAAAACAAGTGATATTAGTATACAATGTGCAACAATTATTTGTATTTGCAAATATTGAATTCAATCAATACGAAAGTTTTAATGACAGCTTTCTCAGCAACAGAACAATATCAGATATTTTTACTGTCAAAAATTATTAATAAAATTGGCTTGAAAATAGTAAAAACATAAAATTTTAGTTGTTGTCAAACAAAATCCATGAACAATCGTAGATTATAATAAACTATGATTTAAAAACTGAATCAAATACCATTATTTCCATCAATGAAACTAGTGCCCTAAATAAAATATCGATTGACACGACAGTAACCTATGTAAACTCAACTGTAATCATACGCTAATTAATGACCTGGTTGTCATGGGATGATGGTAGGAAAACGGTATATTGGTTTCGATCACTTCAACCATCCAACTTCTTTACTACTTCTTTATTTTGCTTAAAATCAAAAAATACAATTACAACCCTACTACTTATAAGTACGAGTAAGTACTATAAATCCTTTTGAATGAAGTGATTAACCACTTACAAATCAAATCTACAAAAAAAAAAATAATAATCTCTCTAATCTCACTTCTTTCGCAAATTTGTATACGTTTTATAAAATTATAAAATAGAGAAATAAATTTTATTTGATTTTCATGTGCTACGAAATTTTTAGTGAAAGCACATTTATTTTTGTTAATATTAAAATAAATACTTTGCATAATCTAAGTTTATATCTTTATTTAAATAAGCATACTTATACTTAATACAAATTTATTATTATTTGAGTTGTAGTTTTCGATTAAAATGATTTTTTTTTTACATTGTATAACAATGAAATTAAATAAGAAAAATTATTTATTCTCACATTATATTTTTGTTAGCGTGAATAAATCAGATGAATAATTTATGTATATATATACAAATAAGTATGTTTTATATAAAACCTAATTGGAAATTCCGCAAACAAAACAAAATATATATAAATATGTATACATATAAGTAATAATTTTGCCACGTCAACTATTTATTTAAAATAGTTTTTAAATATTAAATTTATACAAGTATAAGTACAATGTGTAACAATATGCTATTGAAATTCTAGCTATAGAGAGAAGTAAAATACAAAATAATAATTTAATTATTTTCTAACCAGTCTAACATTTTAAATTAGTTGAATATTCAATTCTTGGTAACAAAGACCTTGAGAAAAGAAATAGCTGAGTGTATTTTACTTATAGATAAGACAACAAGATTTTTCAATAGACAAAAATCTCATTAAAAAATATTTTCTAATTAAGTATATGAATATATGTACATACTAAGATAAAAAATTAATTGTTGATACTTGAGAAATTTATTGATGAAAATAGAAAATTTTTGAAACTATACCTAGTTTACCTACCCACACATTTTATATACATAGTATCTATATTTATTTACATTGTAAAATTATTTATTTTACAAGTTGTTTATGCTCTTCAAAGTAATTCATGCACATAAAATATGTACTAGAACACGATTATTTAACATATATATTTTTTTTCTTAGAAAATTATGAAAAACTTTTAAAGCTTCCAAAAAAAAATTATAAGAATTGTATACAAAATTATTCTGGTCTTAAATAATAAAGTAGGGTTTCCTTTATTTTTTTCTTTTTCATTCAATTCACATCTTAATTCCAATAAGTATAGAAATCTTAGGAAGCATAGTCCCGAAAGTCTAAAAATATTAAAATTTTTATGAATAAGTAATTTTGTTTTGAAACTATTGTTGACAATAAAAAAAATAAGGAAATTTAAAAATGCAAGGGTAAAAAATTTCATTAAAATAAATTAAGTATTCAAGGACTTAAAATATTGAATATTAAGTAAATATAACAAATGCAACATGAAAAACAAACAATATTCAATGTCTTTAATAAAAAATAAAAGAAAAACAAAAATATACTATGTATGTATGTAGCTATTATTTAATCGAATATTTATGCAACGCTTTTATTAACCTTTCTGATCCTTTTTTAATTTTAATTTTTTACTATGTAGGTATTTCAATGGCCAAGTGCTTTTGTATATAAATTTTACACAATGTAAGTAAACAATTATTATGTAACAAAAATATTTATGTATGTATTTAATTAAGTATAATAATTTAATTTGAAATTTAAAATTTTTTCATTTCGATAAAAGGAACTTCATTTTACCAAAGACCCTAAAAATTTAGGTAATCTAGATTATCCATTTTATTTAGTTCCTAGGTAGGTAATCGTATTTTATTTTTTCTTAACTTATTAGACTCTTTCCTAATTTTTTATCATGCCTTTTATCATGTTTATTTATTGAGACAGCTTTTTGAATCAAATTAAGAAAACACATCGAAACTAAGTAGGTACTTAATTACAATTACATCTTGCTAAGCCAATATTTTCAATTAAGACCCATGATTTTATTTTCATCTCATACTTAAGCATTTCATTTTTATAATGTTTTCTTTGTATACAGTAAGGGTGGGTATTAAAATTTCATTAATTACAAAAAAAATTTAATAATAAAATTTGCAAATTAATTTGAAAATTCACAGAATCATGATCAGCGATTTTTTTCTTAAAAAATTGCTTTCGTTTTCGTCTGAAATTCATTAAAATTTTGAAACTTTTTCATAAAATTTGAAGACAAAATGAAATATACAAACTATCTAGCTTTTTGTTAATTGTATATAGTTACTGGTAGAGTTCATTGACGTTAAAAAACAAAAATGGGAAAATTATATTAAAATAATTTTCGAATTAAATCATTTTGGTAACAAAAAAAATACTGAAATCACGTAAGTATCATAATTATTTTTACATTTGATTTCTTTTTCTTATTGTTAAGTTACTTAATTCTATACTGGTATGGCATACTAACCTTTTTAATTTCATTTAAATCTTGTGATTGTATTTGATAACCAATTTTTGTTTGATCATCACCTTTTAAATAGTATGGTGAAAAATATCTTAAACTTGGATAACCCAATATTTCATATTCTCTACATATATCATTATTATTATCATCTGCACAATCAATTGCAGCAACTTTTATTATTCTTCTCCAAGGATATATATCTTCGGCTAATTCTTTATATTTTGGTGCAAATCTTCTACAATGACCACAATATGTATTATAAAATTCTAATAGTGTACCATATTTTTGATTTGATATAAATGATTTCACATTATCAACAGTTAATGGTATTACTTTATCTGATGAATTATATAATCCAAGATTCGTTTCCAATTCTGGACTTCGGCTTAAAGGAACACCAGAATAACCACCTTTTAATGGTGATCCAATCAATATAAATATTATTGGTATAATTATGAAACTTTGCATTTTGTACATTGTAATTTATTTACGTTTTTCTGTTACAATAAAAAATCAAAACTAAAAAATTTTAGTATGTTGGTAAATCCGATTTATTCCTTTTTTACTTGGTATGATGCGAGAATATGAAAACATTCACAGATATTTCTTGAAATCGAAAAAAAAAACAAAAGCAAAACGTATATATGTACATATATTGGTTTTAATGATGTATTAATTAATATTTCACTTATATTTATATTTTTTGTATAGTTTAGGCACTAGTTATTAATTTTTAACGCGAAAACAAAAATGTTTATTACACTACGCAAAATTTGGCTGGAACTAGCATTTTTTTTACTATATATTGATGTACATATACATATGTATATATATATACTAAAGGTATATAATATTTGGAGGACAACAATAATTTGTATGTATTTCCTTGTTTTAGGAGCAGATTATTATGCAAATGTCCACGAATAATTGTTTTTCTTAAATATTTTGTTTTGTAAATATTTTAAAATTTTTCTATTTTTCTTTTTAACTTTAGGAATATAGTGAAATTTTCACAATTTTAATAAATTGGCCAACTTAAATATAATTTAAACTTTTTCGAATACACTTTGACTTTCTACTCACTACTAAACTTTTTACAGTCAGGTGTGGTATATTAATATTAAAATAATATAAATAAAAAAATTAATGTGAAAATTTGAGTACGGGAGAAACACAGGTAAATGTCACAATTAAACAAATCACACAGAGTATTACCAATTAGTGTTATTATGGAATTTTACTCAAAATATTTAATTCACAATAAACATTTCAAAATTTGAATACAATGGTAAAATTAAAAAAAGTGTTTATTGGGTAGAAACTAGTTTTGACAATTGGTTGTGAATTAAGAAGAAAACAAAGTAAATTATGTAAAATATCGAGTACAAATTTCTTCTGACTATTTGAAAATGTATGTGTATATCAAATCTATTATGATTCATTATTATACAATTAATATCTGATTTTGGTTTTGAAATTTTTTTTGGAAACATTAATTTCTTTAATCTTAAAATCTTAAAAATTCTATTTTTTTAACAAAAGAAAACTAATTAAATAATATATTTTAAACATTTTTTGTTTGACTAAAAATATTATTATTCAATTTTTGGACTAGTTATATTGATTTTGATATAATGTACTTTGACGTTGTCAAAAAATAACTCAGTTATTTTTTATTAAATGAGTTATCAGACATGCGTTCTTTCATTTCATTTGTATGAAAGCATAAGAAAATTGTTGTTTTATTTGTTTTTTAAGTTTTATTTTATTTTATGTTTTATTTACAATCGTGACCTTAAAATTGTGAATTTTCATGTAAATAAATTCTCATGAATAAATAAAATATTGCATATGTTTAGGAAAAAAATTAAATAATTTAGAATATCATGTATATATACATATAATACGAAAATTGTTGCTCAACATTTTATTATCAATAATTTTCTTTTTAAATGACACTCCTACACTCTACAATTCAAGGCATAATCGCATTGAATCAAATTGAACAACATTGAATGAAATACTTGTTGCAAATTAATTAGGTTTCCAATAAAAAATTGATATAAATTAGCTTTTAATATCGTTTTTATTTTTAGATTTCAAGCAAATATAGCTTCCCAACACTCAATCATATAATTTTCAAAAAAAAGCTTAATCTTCGTTGGATGATTTAAGATTAAATATCAGTTGGATGATTTAGGATTACAAAATCTTAATTAAATAAAAATCGAATTATATTTCTCTTAAATTCACTTATTACTCACATAATTAAATTAAGATAATTGGACTCAAGTATGTTAGAATATATGAAAAAACTTTAAATCAGACATACTTAAATAAATACCTTTACATACACAAACTTTGAATTATTACAAAATATCCTTCAAAAAAATCTCATAATTGCAAAATTTGTTTATAGTCATTTTTTTTTTCGCTAAATATTGTATATAGGAAAAATTTAAATATTTTTAGAGAGTTTATTAAAATGTGTTAATAACCAGAAATTTTAATCCTTCACTACATACATAAATAATCTTGCTCGCAATATTCAACCGGCAGATATATAAATATATACAAACGTTTTGTATTATATGTTATATACATACATTCAAATACAATACTACATACTCGTATATAACTCAACAATATCTTGGTATACTATCCATCTACATTATATTTAAAGTAATTTCAATATTTTTTTTGTTTTTCTTTTTTATACTTAACCTGTGCATATATCTACATATATTCGTTTTATAAGTTACATTCTTAAAATTGAATCAAAATCTGATTTACCGTCTTTTTATAACTAGAAAGAGTAAAATTCTGTATGCAATTTCTAACATTTATTGAGAGTACTTATAGGTACTAAAAATTTGATTTCTTATAATTGAATAAAAATATATTAAAAGTAACAGATTTTATTTGTTTTTTCTTCTTTTCAATTAATACAAAACATTTTTATATATTAAAGGATGGATCTCTTTTAACAGTTCTACAATTTTGTAATGTATATACGCACAATATACAAATTTTCACACAAAATTATAAATTGGTGAGTACAATATGATTTTCTTATTGAAATTAGTCTGTTATTATTCTTATTGAAATTAGTCTGATCTATAATAGTCACTTTTGCTTGAAACATATTTAACCATATTCTATTTGGTCGTATCGCACTTGAAGTGTAATTTAAAAATATTTAATAATCACAATCGAAAGAAACTACCTAAACATTTATTTTTATTATTAATATTATAAATTTTATATTATTATTATTGTGAATTTATTTATTATTAATATAATTAATATAATTATAAAGATAATTATTATATAATTATTATACTATTATTTGTAATAATTATGCTATATAATTATAAAGATAATTATCTTTACATTTTAATGGCATATTTTCATTTGATTCAAAAAAGACGAAAGCTAATTTGGAATTGTAATCAAAATTTTTCAATTGAAAAATGTCCATTTTTAATTATATCAATTTTAATGTATAATGTACAAAGAAATTCAACAAAATTATAAATTTCGTTTGTTTTCAATAACAAAATAAATCAATTTTAATAAAATAAGTAAAATGTGAAAAATTTAATGTAATCTAAAATAGTATTTAAACAATATACTCATACAAACACATATAAGCAATAAGTTTAAAGAAAATGAAACACTTCAAAAATAAACAGTATATATTTTCAATTCAACCAAAAAAAATTTCTTATCCTTCCTTGTTTTAACACAAATATTTTATTGTGTGATTACAAAAAGGAAAGAGTAAAATTACTATAATTGAAATAATATCGTTAACATTAATTGTAATCACAAAATATTCACAACATTTTTATTTTTGTTGGTTGTCGTCGTTTATCAACTTTTTTTTAGTCATTTGCAGTTTGTACGTTCCGGCAAGTGGTTGGTTGGATTGAAAATTTATAAAAAGAAAAACAAAGTAAAAAATTACGATTTCGGTTTGAAATAAAATTTTTTTTTTATTCTTCTTTTTTTTTATTATTATTATTATTCAATTTTGTGTTTTATTTTAATTGATCGAAAATATATTAAAAAAAAAAAAATTAATTGAAAAATTTTTACATTAAGTAACTAAAAAGGAGAAAAAAAAAATACGAAAAAAAAAAGAGGGAAAAATTAATTTTAATGTGATTATCTTAAAGAGTGAATTATAGTGATGACAAAAAGTTATTATAGTTCTTTTTTTATTTTATTTATTATAAATAATTAAAATAATATATATATATGTATGTATATTATAATTTATATACACATACATATATATGTATTAATAATATATAAAATTAATTAATTTTTTTTTTGTTTTAGTTTAATCAAGAAAATCTATAAAGAAATTTTTATATTGATGGTGCTATACAAAATTGAAAAAAAAAATATAAAAATATAATTCAGAAAAATAATTATAATTATAATATTGACAATTTATATATTATGTTTTAATCAGTTTATTTAATTACATATATATATATATATATAAAATAATTTTGTATAATTTAAGTGATTAAAATTATCGACGTTTTGATTAATAAATAAAAATTTGTCCTTATTGTAAATTTTATACACATTTTATTATATAGTACAAAAAAAAAAAAGAGAATTTTAATTTCTATATTTAAGAATTTTTCATATTTAAAATTAATTAATTAATTATTTAATATAAAGTATTAACGGTGTTATAATAAAAGTATACATAACAGTATTTATTTTTTTTAAATATATTTTAACGGTAAGTAATTAAGTTTTATTTTGGTATCGATAATTATTTATCAATATATTTAATTTGAAAATTATATAATATTAAATGATTAATTTATAAATTACTTTTGCAGTTCATGCATTACAAATATTAAAAATATAAATATCTTTAGAATGCATTTTATAAATAATAATTATATATGTATATATACATATATATGTATATAAATTTAGAATTACGAAATAATTATTTACCTGATTTATTATTTTAATTTGATGTATTTAAATTGGGCCCTGCTTTGCTAAATGTAAGAATATAATTAGCCAAAAAATAAATGTTTAACAATTTGTCGGTATAAACCTAATGAAATTATAAATTTTTCTTATTATATACTTAAGCAAGTTTTGTTTTTTTTTGGAAAAAATATAAATAGTTATGTATAATATAGTAATCCAAGTTTATATTCTGTTATACAAAATTTTTTGTAAGTGGCTAATAAAAGAAATATAATTATGCCAACTTATTTAAATACTTATTTGAAAAGTTAAATGAATTTAAGTAATTATTCATTACAGCAATTAAATTCTAATACAAAATTATATAACTTTTCCCTTTTATTATATAAGAATTTTAGTTTAGTAAAAACTTAAAGACGTTAGATATAACAATTAGTTTAAGTTTTGTTAAAATTATTAATTTAGGATAATTGTTGGTATAATACAAATTATTGCTAATTTTGTATAAGTAACCCATATTAGTTCTGTCAAAAAATTAATGGAATATGTACAATTATACACAATATTATAATTTATTATTTTGGTAGTAAGTTTCGGAAATATTTAAATAGTAAAATTGTTAAGAAGGATTGTTAAACTATATAGAATATGTGATGAAAAATTTATTTACTAAGTTAGTCAAAATAATTAAATTATTTATCGGTATCCATTTTAATAAGTATGTATATATTTGATTTTTTCGACAGCAATAATGTTACAGAAATATTTTATAAGCAGAGTTATGTTGTATACATCATATCATACCAATTCTTATTCATATTTTGTATGATTGTTGTCATACAGTAAATTAAATTAATTATTTTCGGCTGTATGAATACCCTTTTAGCGTGTCGTTTATTACGCGGATAATGTGATTTTTTTCAAAAGAGTTTAAGCAGGTTTAAATAATAAATGGGAATTACAAATTTATTTTTTGTATATTTATAGTAAAATTCGATAATGTAATTGCGATATTTTTTATATAATTATGCCTAAAATTAAAATTTTTTAATTTTAGTAATTAAGTAACTTAATATAGAAAATAATTAATATGAAAGCAAATTAAAAAGAAAATACAAAACTAATTTAAGTTATAACAAAGGAATATTATGCACATACAGACATAAATACATATATAAGTATATACATACATACA